TTCTCGTTTTAATCCCTTTTGCATTTTTCCGCCTTTTTCACTCTAGTTTCAATTTTTATTTTTTATTTTAAAATTATTTTGTTTCAAATTTGTTTAAATCAAAATTTTTTCACATTTTAATATTTTTAATTTAATAATTTTCAATTTTCAATTTGTTTTTCTGTTCAACTTTAAGTTTTTTAAATTGGTATTCATTGTTATTATTTATTGAATGATTTGGAAGAAAAGACACAAATATCTAGTATTCCTCTTTTTAACTCCGAAATCATTTTAAAATTTCTTTTGAACCAAGAAATATAACAAAAGTATAATAGTATACATTTGTTTGAAAGTTAATAAAATATTTTAATTTTCTTTAATATTTATTACTTATTATTGTTAGTAGAGGTAATATAATATTTTTCTTTCGTGTGTCAAACTTTCAATCGGTCAGAAATTGACAACTTTCTACCCATGTTGCACACGATGTAATATTTACTAAAAAAATATCTTTTTTTCCTATGAATGTTTAATTGTTTACTTTTTCGAAATTCAATAAATTAATATTAAATTATTTCGATCGTTTTTAAAAAATATTAACCTTCCGTCTGTCGTATGGTGAGAAGTTTCTTCAATTTCTTATTTTTTAAAGAATAAAATATCAGACTTCGCACTCGATAATTAATTTTAAAAAAGTAGCTTTAAAACTAAAAAAGTAGTAAAAAAATAGCTATCGAAAAATTAAACTTGACGACAAAAAAAACTCGTTTTAGACACTTCACAAAACTGACAATAATTCCATTCTGTATTTTAATTTCCTGACATTTTCCAAATTTTCATCAAAAATATTTACTTCTTTCTTATCCTGCTAATAAATTGAATTCTTGCAACGAATTTTATTATTCATGAAAGAATTTAAATATTTGTAATAATAATATAACATCTATTATTTACATATATGTGGGCAATTTCACGTCAGATTTCAGTTCAAATTTTAAATTTGGCTTTATTTTTATGAACAAATTAATTTTTTTTTAATTTGGAAGTTTTAAAAAAAATTTTTTAAAAAGAAAACATAGCTGTCAATGATAAGAATAGTTTGCAAAAGGTTTCAGAGTGGTCTTCTTGAATTTGATGTGTTAAAATAAATTTTTAATTTTGTCGAGTAAGTTTTACGCGTGCTGCACTGTGCACGTTTTTTGAAATTTTTTGAAAAATTAAAACTTTTCAAAATCCATACGATTGATTATTCATTATCGTAAGAAAAGCATACAAAAAATTTGGCAACGAAAAATAATAGAAAATGTGGAATAAGTTGAATTTTTTTAAAACTACTAGTAACATTTGAGCCATTTAAAAATGATCATTTTCAGGGGTATCAAAATTTTTTTTACATTTTTTCAGTACCTGAAATCATATTATACTATAGAAGATTAATAAAAGTAATTTTTAACTAATTTACAAATTTTATTTATGTTTCAAAAAAATTAAATTTTTTTGAAAAATACAAAATTTTTAAAAATCCATATGATTGATTTTTTAGAATTATGAATAAGCATATTATAATTTAAAATACGAAAATTTGTCAGAAAGAATATTAACCACCTATAAACAACAACCCATAAAATTCCAGAAGACCACTCTGAAACATTTTGCAAATTATTCTTATCATTGCCAGCTATGTTAAAAAAAATTTTTTTTTAAAACGTCCAAATTAAAAAAAAATTAATTTGTTTATAAAAATTTAAAAAAACAAATTTTTTTGTAACAGCATTTAAAAGTTGAAGAAAAACTGAACTTTTTTTGTCTTAACGAAATTTTTGTAAATCTAATAATTTTCCAGTTGTAGTCCATTGAAAAAAGGTCTACTTTGCAAAAATCAAATAGATGTTATCCAAAATCGTTAACTAAATAAAAGAAGAGTTAAGAATTTGAATTTTTCTTTTTTAAAAATTTTTTAATCAATTGTATTTAGAAAATTAAACCCTGTAAACACACACATAAATAACAATTATTAAAATAATTTAAAAATTATTTTTGCTTCTTAAAAACAATTTTTTCTGAAAAAAATTCCAAATCACCCCTATGGGAACGTCCATAAACTACGTAGACCAATTTTTTGGAAATTTTAACCCCCCCCCCTCCCCCCACGTGGACGAAATTACATGTATTAGCGCCATTTTTTCCTCTTATGGTAGACTGATTGCTTGACCCCCCCTCCCCCTAGACGTGCTACGTAGTTTATGAACGTTCCCTATAAAGGGGTGATTTTTCCATAAATGAACGATTTTCGGGTTAAGTTTTCTCTTTTCAGGGGGTGCTAAGGAGTCAGAGGGTAACAATTAATTTTTTTATCATCGTAGGCAAACTTTTTTTTCCTTCCAGACACCTGTGAGAGATTATATATAGATGATATCCAAATCAATATATTTAAAAATTCAATTCAAAACATTTGTCCCAAATCCCATCTAAGAAATACTCTGCTACTCGCAACTACCGCTCTTCTCAAAATCCACAATTCCAAACAATCTCATCGGAGAGTTCTGCCAAGCCAATGCCGTGGTGCAAAACGATTCTCTGAACAACGAACAACAATCGAATTTTTCAAATTCAACCGTTGAGAAGTATCAATATTTCTCTACCCTCTGGTACTCCCAGTAAACGAAAACTAATTGAAATGAATTAAAAAGAATTCACAAAGAGCTTTCGTGAATCCCGCTTTGTGACAAATACGAATTGGAGCCATGATGCAATTTTCCTGAATTCGTGAAACTGTATTGAACTTCCGAACCTTCTATCCGTACCAATTCACTGGACAAGTTTTGAGCCTTTAATTTTTTTTCAATTCGTTAGCACGAATTCAATGCATTCCTTGGCCATTTCTTTCGAATGCGAATTCGTTTGGACAAATTGGTACATATTGAATTAAATTCAATTGAATATACAAAGAGCTTGAGTGAATCCCGCTTTGTGACAAATACGAATTGGAGCCTACCAAAAATGTTAATTCGTTTTAATTCATTTGAATTAGTTTTTTTTTACTGGGCTCTCCTCCGGTCCTCAATGAACGCATAAACACAGTAAAACACACAATTAATAAAAAAACAACTTTTTATTAATAAAACTCAAATTCAAATTAACAAACTATAAAATAAATAAAACTCAAATAACTCTCGATTATGACACTCTTCACATCGCGTCATACGCTTAATTGCATGAGGTCTTTTTGAAGCGGATGAGCCAGTTCTCGGATTTAGGAAGGTGTACCTCACTAATTTATTTTAGGAAAAAAACTTCAAAATAAATAGATCCCATCGTTTGCCCACGATCGGACAAGGCTTAAAAATTGTTAATTTAATGCTAGTTTCTTACAAAAAATATTGAAAAAAATTGATCGATACATACATCGTTAAAAATGAAATTTTATTTAAAAAATTTTTAAATCTTATCGTAACTTATTTAAAAATTTTTTTATTAAAAACTACGTGTGGAAATAAAACTTTTTATTATAAAAAAGTCCAATTTGATCAATTTTTGACCGAGTTATAAGCATTTTAAAAAAAATTACGTAAAAAACGTCATTTTTCAAAAATCTGTATCTCCTGAACCGCTTTCTGAAAAAATTTGAAAAAAATCATGGTAGCTCATTTCAAAGAGTACTAAAAGAAAAAAATGTTTAAAAAAAATTTAAGATGCAAAAGCAAAATAATTTATTTCCGATTTCGCCTGGAATGCCCCATATACTACACTTAAAAATTTGTAAAAATAATTGATTCTAAGAAACTCGGAAATCGACATCAATATAAAGCTTCCTTTAAGAGGAAGCAAAATTAAATATACTTGTCTTTAATGCTTCCTTCACGAGGAAGAAAATTTTTTTGCAGATCGTAAAGAGGAAGCAAGTTTTACATTCATTTCCAAGAGTATAACGGTTTTTTGAGAAAATTCAGTTCATATATGGGTGATTCTCCAAAAACCGGTCACTTTTAAGTTGATAAAATTTTTTTTTTTAATGTTTAAAAATTGAACTTTCTTTTATTAATTACTATTCATTGGTATTTAAATAAACTATATTTGAAGTAGGTACGCTACAAAACTATTTAAAGTTTAAAAATATTAAAATTATTTAAATTTCACCAGGATCATTTTGAATTTTTTCACGTCGCTCTTTTTCGACATTTGCTTTTTTCTGTTTGTTTAATTATTCTTTTATGTTAGACAATCCATATCAACTATATTTATTTTAAATTACATTTATTAATAAACATTAGTTTTCGTATAATTAGCACTTTTCGCGTAATTGAAATGAGATGTGAAAAGTAAACATGAAAACTAACCTCATCAGAGGCGTATCATCGAGGGGCACTGAAATTCATATTTCTTCTATATAGGTATTATTAATTCAATTAAATGACTTATTTTTATTATTTTTAAAATTATATTTAAAAATATATGAAAAGATTAGAAAAATTTCAACTTTATTACCTATTTTAAAAAAAGTTTTAGGCACGGGCACACTTTTTACTTGTTTCGCACCTACCACGTGCAAATGTTTTGACACGACAAAGGACTCCACGACAATGGAAATTTGTACAAAATCCATTAATACATATTTTAAACAAAAGTAAATAAAAAAATGGCTAGGTATACACTTTTGTCCTACCAAACTGTAAGTTTTCATCCGTTTTTTATTGATATTTATATTAAAATATTAAAGTTATGACAGCGCACGACAAAGGAATGAATAAAAATACGCAGTGTTTTTCTAGTGTTTTTTCTTAAAAATATGAAAAATATAATTTATTTTCCAATTTCTCTTGGAGATTTGAAAAGTGACATGTTTTTTCTTTAATTTCCAATTGATTTTGATATAAAAAGTGCATGTCTTATAGTTCATTTATACACGTTTATCCTTTGTCGTGCCAGCATGGAGATTTTTAAAGACACTTATATTTTAATAATTATCAATAACTATATTGATGTATTAAAAAATTTCATCGATAAAAATTGAAGCTTTTGAGTTAATCTTTCATAATATTTATTGAATAATTAAAGATAGTTCTTTTTTTATAAGTAATAGTACTTTAAAGTTTGGTACTCAGAGGTTAAGACATATTGAATTGCTGTTTTCCAGCTGTTAAATGTTGTTTTCCACTAAATTTGTGTTAAAAAATTATCGTTTTTTATAAAGGGTATAATAAGTGATGTTTAAATAATATGTTTGTCCAATGTTAATATTTAAATGTTAAGTTATTTAGAAGATATAAGTCAAAGACATGAAATTGCCCACTTTCAGGAGAATCACCCATATAGGAATTTAATACATTTTGTCATTTGACAACTGTCAAAAAATGTCAATAAACTTAAATTCCATTTAAACTTTAATCCATCTATGGCACGGGTCAATATTTAGCAAATGGACTGTTCTTGTGCACAGCTCATTTCTTCACATTCTAAAATGAATTTCAGCAGGCGACCTAAAAAATTCCAACTTTCACAAAATAAGAACCTCCTTATAGATATATTCCAGTTTATGCAATTAATTTTTTAATTTTATATTGGACTGAAAATTGTAAACTAAGCAAAGAATCACACTTTTCATATAGAATAATCTGCAAATAAAGAACTTTATGTTTTCTAAATAAGAATTCATATAAATAATAAATTGTTTATACAATTGATGAATGCAAATACCTTAATTAAGTTTTTGCATAATTCTTAATATTTAGGCTAGTCAACTTTAAGAATTTTTATATAAATATTCAATGTGTGGTGTTGGTTGGCGTGGCAATCATTTTTGTGACTTGTGTCAAAACTTTTGGGGCTGCCGTCGCAATATCTTCTGTTACATTTTTCGTTGGTACGTGAAAGAAATAGAGCATAAAGCCAGCCGCTAATAGAAGGTGCAAGCCCAAGATTATAGAGACGTAAATATATTTATGTTTTCCTGAAAGTTGAAAAATACATCAATTTTATTTTTCTTTCTTTTTCAAAATTTCAGAAAATATCCTTGTCTACATTTGAGTTTAAAATTATTTCAATGAAGACTTTTTTTGAATGAAAAAATTTTTAAATTATTTTCAAATATGAGTTAAGTTATTAAATAAATAATGAAATGATTAGAAATATTACTTTATGTTTATATTGCTTACCAGACACAACTGGAAGAAGTGATAGAAGTAAGACTCCACCAGATAATACTGTAGCAGCAATTACTAAACCCCATTGTAACCAGCTATACTGTATTGTCCAAAGAAAAGCGACTGGCACATAAATTGACAAGGAATAGCCGTAGAGGCATAACAGTTGTAAAAGACCTGGAATTTGTGCAGTTTCCTAGAAAAGAAAATTCCATTTTTATACCAATAATGTAATTGTGAATAAAATAAATTTTAAGGGGCACACCTAGTGTGAGTGACTGAAAAAAACGTCGATTTTTAGAAATTTTTTTCAGGGAAATTATTGCATCTAATTTTTTTTAAAGTTTTGTACATGTATATTTGTATAAATAGTAAACATTTTGTAATTTTTGCAAAGAAAAATATCTTTTTTTTAAAGAGTTATTCGCTATATCCAAAAAAAACCAGTTTCTCCACTGCTGCAGTTATTGCGGCCTTCTGAGTGACTGAAATCAAAAAAAACCAAAAAGATTATTAAACTAGAAGATATTTGCCATACTATGAGGCTCCAGTTTTTTTTTTTTGGATGAAAAATAAAATTTTGGGATGCCAAAAACTATCGGATTTTTTAGGCGAAATTTATAAGCTTTTTTCAAAACTCCGCCATTTTGTTGCAATTCAATATTTTTTTTCGTCCGAGGGTCATAGTATGGCAAATATCTTCTAGTTTAATAATCTTTTTGGTTTTTTTGATTTAGGTCACTGAGAAGGCCGCAATCACTGCAGCAGTGGGAGAACTTTTTTTTCGGATACTCAGGAGATAGCGAATAACTTTTTTAAAAAAAGATATTTTTCTTTTAAAAAATTACAAAATGTTCACTATTTATACAAATATACATGTAGGGGAGAGGGCCCCAAGGTGGTCAGGGCCCTAAGGTGGTCACCCTAAGAAAATTTTTGTATATTAGTTAATATCTTCAAATGTTTTTTGTTATTGTTATTATTTGAGAAGACAAAGATTTTAGTAAAGTTTTGAGGTAAATAGTCGTATGAGTCTCTTTGTAACGTGAACGTCGTAAAATTTCTGTTTTTAAATGATCGAGAAATTTTTTTCTCAGGGTGTTAAAATCATCGAAATTAACCATTTTAAATTAGTAAAAATCGTTAAAATTATCTTTATATATCGTACAATAATATTTCAAATAAATATAATTAATATTGTGCTTTAAAAATTTTTTTCATTAACGTTTAAAAAATTGTGTCTTGGCCCTAAGGAGGACACTTTTTTGGCCACAAGGTGGTCACTTTTGATTTTTTATAAAAATGTTTTTATACGCTATATTTATCAACATTTATCACTGTGAATGTGAATTTTATCAATTTTTAAGTTTTATGATGAATAATAATGAAATAGAATTATTTTCAAAATTTTACCTGTCTAATACATACACAAAAAGTATCATTTTTGACGAAAGAACAAAGTGCAAAAAAAACATGTAATATGTTTCTGTGATCCTGAAAAACAATTAATATTAAATAAACAACCTAATAATACGTTTTTACATTTTTTTAAAACTTTTTTAGTGAATTTTTGTATGGTGACCACCTTGGGGCCACTTTTTTAAAAGTCGAATTTTCAACTTTTTTTAAAAAGTGCCATAACTTTTTTTTTATTAAGGTATTAGTCGCGTAAAATGGTTTTCGTCAGATTTTTTTCAAATTTTGCATACTTATTCCTGAAGTATTTATCTACAGAATGAGACCAATTTCATTAATTTTGACCGTTTCAAAGCTTCAAAAAATGAATTCAAAGTTCATACATTTTGCATGGAGGAAGCACCCAATGCATGTATTAATTTTGTTTAATAATTATTTATATGATAACTAATCGTCAGATTTTGAAATAAAACTACCAAAGTATTCAATTAGATGAAACAAGTAAATAGAAAAAACATGACATTTTTTGACCGCACCAAACTATAAATATATTGATAGAAAGTTAAAAAAATAACTAAATTATACGAATTTTCATACGAACAAATAGAGTAGGGAGTTAAACTGTCTCTCTCACTCTCACTGCCCCACTCTAGTAAGCGGCCCGGTAAACCTTTGGCCAGAGCCAGCAGCGCGACTACTACCTTAATGAAATAAAAAAAACTTTATGATAGGAAGTTAGGTAATAAGATAAAGTTTCAAACGCCGTATTATTGACCTTTATATATAATTCCATTTGAAATCTACAGTCGTTCAAAAGATGGGTGACCACCTTAGGGCCCTCTCCCCTACAAAACTTTAAAAAAAATTAGATGCAATAATTTCCCTGAAAAAAATTCCTAAAAATCACCGTTTTTTTCAGTCACTCACACTAGGTGTGCCCCTTAAAGCTTGTAATTGTTATTAAAACAATAGTTCTTTGTACAACACAAACTTACGATTCTACAGAACATAAAGGAAGAATATTAAAATTTCAACCTTTTTTCTAATTAATTTTGTGTAACCCCTGCTGGAAAAGTGTTACTTTTCTTTGACATAAATGCAGCACGAAGTGGTTTATTAAAAGTGTACTTTGCTGCACACTATGCATAAAAGTGCACTTTTTGTATACACATCAGAGCTCGAACTAGGTCCGCAAATCCCGTAAAAGTCCGTTTTTTTAAAAAAAAAGTCCGTAAAGTCCGTAAATTGTACAATATAATTTGGATAATTTTAGAGAAATTACAAATGATTGTAGAAATTCAATTATTTTCAAATTTAATAAAATTTTTCACAAAAATTCAATTATGTTCAAAATCTTTTTAAAATTCTCGTCAAAATTTCAATTATCTGTAGAAATAATAAAATTATTCTCCAAAATTCAATTATTTTCAAAAATTCTAAAGAAACTCTTTTCAAAATTTCAATTATTTTCAAAAATTTTCCTCAATTCAATGATTTTTAATAGGTATCTACTATTCTAATAAAATTTTCCAAAAGAATTCAATTATTTAAAAAAAAAATTTAATAAAATTCTATACAAACATTTCATTATTTTCAAAAAATAATAAAAATTTCACAAGAATTTCATTATATTTACAATTTTTTAAATAAATTTCTTCGCAATCATTCAATTATTTTCATAAATAATAAAATTTTTACAGGAATTCAATTATTTTGGTAAATAATAAAATTCTTATTAGGAATTAAATTATTTTGATAAATAATAAAACTCATTGCAGAATTTCAATTATTTTTAATACAATTTTAATCAAATTCCTCGAAAAAATGTAATTATTCTTAAAAATTTTATTAAAATTTTTCACATTTTCAACTAACAATTCTGTGGAATTAATTTTTTTTTTAGAAAGTTTAATTGCGGATTTGAAAATTGTCAAAGAACTTTTTCGAAAATTATTAAAAATAATCGATTTTAAGAAGAATTTTAGTTAAAAATTGTTGAAAATAATAATTGAATTGATAATGATTTTATCACTCGGTCATCTTTAATTATTATAAAACATGAAGAAATCGATCACATGAAGTTATCGATATCTTCATGTTTTATAGTTATGAAAATTTAAATTTCTAGTTTTAAGTAAAATGTTCTTTTATTTGACTCGGACTGGTTATATTTTTGTCAGCAATTGGTCCGTAAATGATCCGTATTTTGAAATACTTTCACTGGTTTGAGCCCTGTGTAAAGTATTTATACTGTATACTATAATTAACATAAAATGACATTTATTCATGAAAACAGTAAAAAAATGTCGTTTTTGGTTATTACAATAATTATTAATAATAATTACTTCAATTAATTCTCCTTGTGTACTTGGTTGATTTGCAGTCCATTTTAGAGCACCCCAGAGTGCAAGAGGCAACAACCAAGCATATAAGAAAATACATGTGGATGCACCGGATATGACATGAAAATCGTATTTCCAATGATACTTTTCGGAATTTGCAGTTTGGAAATAGTTGGCTATATTTCCACTCACAGCTATTGAAAAAACTAACGTGACACAAATCCAAAATGGCCCGTAAAGATCTGGGTTTGGTTCTATATGGGTTTTGAGGTAATTATCTGTCCAATGCGGAATCATTGACCGCTTTATTCTCTCAACAACATCCTGGGTATTAACATTGAAAAACTTTTGGTAGTACTCCACAGTCCAAAAATTACGTTGTTTCGGTTCTGAAAGTATAATTATACTATTGTAAAGTTTAATTATTCAACCAGTGCATTGATAGAAGAAAATAGAATTGATTGTTTTGCCAGTGTATGTATTGATAAAAATAATTTATTTTTATTAACTAACTGAAAGTGGAATAATTTAAAAAGGTATACTATTTATCTTAATACTGTCAATAATTACGACTTCAGGGTGGTCACAAGTTTCAGTTTATCAATTTCCCTGACAATTTACTGACATTAAAATTACTTTCCCTGACAAAATTCATTTTACAGGAAAATATGAATGTTTACGGAAAATGAGTAAAATTTATTAATTTTAATAATTTCTAAAAATTACAATTATAACTCTTCCTGAATTCAATTATTTTCTACGATTTTCAACTAAACTTCATCTCTGAATCAATTAATTTAAATAATTTTCCAAAAGTTCTTCTAGAATCCAATTATTTAAATATAAAACTCAATTTTTTATGATAGTTATAACTCTCCACAGTTTTTTCTTAAGTTATTAAGGTATAATATTTTCAAAAAATTATAAAGAAATTCTTACAATTTATTCATTTTTTAAAAATATTTTTAAATAATTTTTAAAGATAATAGTTTTTCAATTTTAAAAAATTTCCAAATAATTAAAATTTGGTAAAATCTATTAAAAATAATTGAATTTTTGAAAAATATAAATAAAAATGATCAAATTTTTGAAGAATTTTAATTATAAACAGGACCATGATTTCTCAAAACTTTTAATAAGTCCAAAAAGTAAATTTTCATAAATTTTTATTTACATTTTTCGAAGATAATTGAATCTTAAAAAATTATGATAAAACAATTCTAATAGGTAATTAGTTTTTAAAAATATTTTAATATAATTTTTCAAAAATAATTGAATTTATTAAAAAAAATTTTGTATACTTAAAAAAAACTAATTAATTTTTTGATGAATTTTAATTAAAAATTTTGAACTTGATTGTTTTCTCCAAAATGTTAAAAATAATTCTAAAATGTTATTACTTTTTGTATATATCTGAATTTTCAGAAATATGTACTTAATTGAAAATATTGAATTTTAAAAAATTAGAAGCTATTTTTCATTAATTTTCATTTTTAAATTTACATTTAAAGAATTTTCATTAAATTTATGATAATTCAATTATTTTCAAAATTTACAATGAAAATTCTTCAAAAGTTAATTTTCAAAAATTGTAACAAAATACTTGAAAGAAATAATTGTTTTCAATTAAATTTTACAAAATTTCAATTATTTTAAAAAATGATTCAAGAATAAATTTTGAAAAATTTGTTATAGTTTTTTTTCGCACTATAAAATGAAAATAATTTGCATTTTATGCTAAAAGATGAGGTATTTTGTTGCAATATTTGGAAGAAAAGTCAAAAAGTCGCAATTTTTGAAAATAAATCGAAAAATGGCTCAATTTTCTTAATTTACCCACCAAAAAAATTTGTTTTCTGTCATTTCCCTGATTTTACTTTTTCACCTTTTGCACCCTTTTTGTTAAATTGTCTCTACTTCATATATTTAGTTATTTTTTTAATTTATCAAAATGTCAGCTTGCCCGTATATTAAAATATTAAAAACTGTTTATTTTGACTGGCCAAATAGAGTCCCTTTTTTATTTGGCCTGATTTAGATATTAATTGTATATTTTTTTAGATACACTGGCCAAATAAGAAAACTAACTTATTCTGCCAGTTCACTGGCAGAATATTTAAACCACCTTATTTTGACAATTAACTGGCCGAATAGACACTCCGATTGAATAAATGCTTTTATCTGAAGATATTTTATTTTTGTTATTGTTTATTTGTAAATATCCATATTCATTTTTTCTTTGACTTTCTAAATATTTTAAACAAGGATATTATTTTTGAGCTTTATATAACTCTTTTTATTTTTATATAAATTAAGTGAATTTATTCAAGGAACCAAAAGTTTGTGCAATATTATAGTTTTGAAATAAATAACTAAGGATCTAAATTTTATTTGAATTAAGTAATATTCTACACCAATTTTTTTACATGGCCAAATAGGCAGAACGTCATAAAAATTTATTTTTAGGTTAGGATTTTAACTATTTGTCTTATATTTCAGTTATAACAAATACAACTCTGAAAATTTTTGTAAAATTTATAAATATTTATTCTAACGAATAATTTATTAAATTTTCTTGTTATAAAATATTGATTAATTATTAATAATGATTTAAATGGATATTTCACAAAGTATGTATTTTGAAACACTTGAAATCAGAAACAATATTCTTAGAAGGATAATATTTATAACCTGTAAATCGTAATTCTTTAATATGAAAAATTGATTACAAAACATTATTTACACTGTAACTTGTATAGAAAATTAGGAAAATAAAATATTCGAACCTTCTGTGCTAGGCATTCCTTCAAGATCTCTAACCATTTGATTTCCAGTAGGATCATTTGTGAAATTGACATAAGGCTGATGACCAGAAGTTCCAATATCTAATTGTGCTTGACCTGTACCTCCTGATCGATGAATCGGTGAATAATCTTGAAAAGAAATAAATTGTGCTTCAGGTGGATTCTTTTTCTTGTCATCCATGTTTGATGTTATGATGTTAAATGCCACCTGTCACTTTTAGATTGAGCGCGACTGCGCAACAGAATAGAAAATGACAGTGGTGGCACCTATAAACAAATTTTCTATGCATACTATATACCCATAGTGTTTTTAAGTAACTTTTACCATTAATAGTAATAATAATTATTAAATATCATTGCTAAATTTTCTTTCAGGTAGATTATTGCTGAAAATACATTCAGTATATTTACTTTTAAAGAATAAATAATAAATATCGACAAAATGTGGAAAATATTGAGGAACAAAACGGAAGTGATATCTGTGACGGATTAAAATAACTAAAAATTAAAAACAAACTTTTATTCAGTGCTTTACTTTTATAACATTTATCAAAATAATTTTTGACAAATTCAAATTAATACAGATTTATTTTTCACGCTATTCACAATATTTTAATTTGGCTTTGATTGTGAGAAGTAGTTTTTTAAACCTATATTATTTATACAACAGGACAGCCATGCTTTGTCCTTAAGGAAGTCATAAGTTTTATGTAAAAGACTAGAATAATAATCATGTTGTTTGTCAACTATCATGTCATTTATAAAAAATAAACTATGTAGAGAAAAATATTATTAATTAACTGCCAAATCTATAATAGACACTGGAAATACCCGAATGAGGACAGGAACACATAGAGGTTAGAATTTTTGAAAACTATTTGTCCTTCCAGCTTTTTTCTTAATTGTATACATTTTTTAAGTTAATGTTAGTTGAATAGTAATTTGTTGTTACAGAATTACAATAATGCTATATCGGTCTTGCAGTCTTCTAAGTTTTATTCGACAAAATGTCGTTTGTCACAGCACAGACCGATTATTCGTTGTGCACATTGGAGTGGCTAAAAAGCACACCAGTATTTTTATCACATCAAAATATGTTCACGTTATATCAAAAGCACAAAGTATTGTCAATAATAAAATGCCAGCCAGGAATATTGGCGAGCTACGATGGATTTATTCATCAGCCGCGAGATTTATAGCAGGAAAAATTGAAGAAAAATCGGAGAAGATCGTCGAACAACCTCTGAAGCAGAAAGTAATTGAACATGATAAGGAAAACTTGGGTAAAGTCAAAGAAAGAGACTTGGAAGTAAAAGTTGTTGCAAGCTTGGACGATATTGTCAAGAAAAATGAAAAGTTTCTTAAAGACAACAAAAAAGAAGAGAAAATTGCTGAAAAAGAAATAGCGAAGGATGATAATTCAGTTCCGAAAAAAGGTATAGATACTTTTAATTTTTCTTGATTAATTTTGTTTTCATTTTATTGTTCAAATAATTCAAAAATTATATTAATCTAAAAAAATATTATTAATGTTACTAGCTATCAATTCGCGCGCGGCTGATTTCTCACTCACTTTTTAAAATAAAATAAGCAATTTTAAAAATAATAGAACTCAAAACTGTTTAATTCACATTTTTTTTATTTATTCAGGGAAAAGTCAAGAATTTTTATTAAAAGTACTGAAAAAAATTAAATTTTTAGAATTCATAAGAAAATTCTGAATTATTGTGTCTTTTTTGTTTGACTCATAAACTATAAAGTTACCACGAATCTACTATTTTAATAAAAATATCCAAAGGAATTCGATTATTTAAAAAGAATTTTAATAAAATTGTACGCAAACATTTAATTTTTTTCATAAATAATGAAAATTTTACTGAAATCCCATTATTTTCATAAATAATAAAATTCCTAATTTTAAGAAACATTCGATTATTGAATAAATTATTTTTTTGTATTTAAATAATAAATTGAATTCTCGTAGAATTTTCTAGTAAAACTTGATTTTAAAATAAATTTTTATTTAAAATTTTAAATAATAATTGAATATTAAAAGTATTAGAGCGTTGTAGAATTTCAATTATTTTTAATACAATTCTAATCAAATTCCTTGAAAAATGTAACTATTCTAAAAAATTTTATTAAAATTCGCCAAAAGAATTTAATTATTTAAGAACTTGTTAATAAAATTCTTTATAAGAATTAAATTTTAAGAAACATTCGATTATTCAAAAAGCTATTAATTTTTGTATTTAAATTTCAAATAATTAAATATCTAGTTGAATTTTCTAATAAAAATTGATTTGAAATGAATTTTAGTTTAAATTTTAGATAATAATAGAATATAAAAATAATTTTGAAGAAGTTACAGTAACAATATTCTTATAATATATAAAATAATGATTTTAACACTCGATCCTTTTTAATTATTATAAAACATGAAGAAACCGATCACTCCGAGTCCAAAAAGCGAAACTTTAAGAACATCAGCTTTATAGCGATTGTAATCTTTCTTTTCTTTTTAAAGTGTAAAATATTCAACTTTAGTGTATTGTCTTTAGGAACAAAAAAGAGAGTGAAACTTGATTTGACTGCTTCGTCGCTAGAACGAAATTTCATTACACCGGTGAGAGCGATGTCGGATTTTCTACTGAAACCCTCAGACTTAGAATCACTGCCGAAAACAAAAAGGAGATCGCCTTATGAATTTGAGCCGCCAATCACTGTTTACTGGAGAAAGGATGTTGAAGCTAAGTAAGCGCAATGATAAGTAACGATAAATAAAAAACATTTTTAATTCCATAGTAAATTAGTTGTTATTAAGATAAGAATTTTCAAAATCAATTTTTTCATTTTTCTGTATGTTTACTCGGAAATGTACATAATTTTTCCAATCAATTAAAGATTTTTTAAATTCGCCAAATAACCCGGTAAATATGCACATTTACCGTAACATATACATTACATGTTCATAATTATATTGAGACTTTGACGAACTTTAGGGATGAATTTTATTTTAAATTGGTAGGTCTCATCGGGGACACGATATCAGTAGTTTTTGAATCTAATTTATCAAGTTCAACTATACTTTTCGTGTTTTAAAATTATACAAAAAAGTGTTTTTACAAAAATATTCAAAACAGTTTTTTGAGATCTAAGTCGATTGAAAAATTTAATTTATATTAATACTATATTTATAATTATACAAAATGTATAACTAGAATAAATTATATCGTTAAATTTAATTGGTAGAAACGTATTTTTTTATTTGCAGAGCATTAGCAGTTTGGGGATCTCAAGAAGCCCTCCTAAAAGAACTTCTGAAAAAGGAACTTGAAATTAAAACCTATCAGCAAAGTAAATATATTTAAAATTTTTCTTTACATAATTAATTACCTAGGGTAATGTCACATTGAGTGGACCGCCACTTTGAGTGGACCACCTGAGCTTTTAAGTTATCTGACAGCGGAAACATGAAATAAATAAAACGAATAGCAGCACCGCACCTAGAAACCGTAAGAAATTAAGTTCCGCGATAAACATGTACGTTATTGTTTGATGTAACGCATTTTTAAGAATACAAACCAAAAAAGAAGTCGCTCTTACAATGAGTAAAGTGATTCAGAAGTGTAAAAGTAGTGTAAAATTTAAGTTTTAAAAGGTAACTTATTTTTTTCCTACTACTTTGGACATTGAAATTGATTGTCTTAGTTTAATTAAGTGATAATTTTGACTCAAAAAAAAAAATTGTGGTGGCTGCCATAAAAAGTTGTATTTCACTATGAGTGGACCACTGTTTATAACCATGAGAGGACTGCCTGTTTTTTATATTTTTAATGTCAGTTTACCATTTTTAAGGAAATAAATTGACAATAAATTGGTTTGAAACTATGTTTTATGTTCTTTATTAATTTTTTTGTGATTAAAAATTAGCTATTTTTTTAAAGTCAATTGTTTTTTCCAAATAAAAATAAAACAAAGCTATTATGGTGTAAGCACTTACCTAGGGATCTAAACTAAAGCATGGAATAGAAACCTCCGATTAATTTGCTTTCATAAAGAATTTTTTCGAAAAAAAGCTTAGGCGGTCCACTCAAGGTGACATTACCCTATTTTATTTTTTTTACACTGGGATTACAAATTTTCAGTACATTTTCGACATCGGATATTAATTGTAAATATCCACTTCTTTCAAATTTAAATATTTTTTAACAAATTTAATTTTATAAAAGATTATTAAATTTAGTTGACGGCAAATAAGCCAGGATACAAGCAAGTTTATCATGTTTATATGTGGACGTTCGCATGAAAAGGGACCACTTAACTAAAAAAGGATCAAATTGCAACAAATTGATCTCAAAAAGAGAATCAAATAAGAATTTGATCTCAATTTTTGGATCATTTTGATCCAATTGGGGATCATTTTGACATTTTTAGGAAAACAGTGTTGGCACTATTAGATTTATCTATAATGGTCAAATTCCTTGTTAAATTTGGAAAATTTTAAGAAGTCTAAGTCCAATTTGGTGCAAAAATTACTGAGTTACAGAATTTTAAGTGGTAACACCACTCTGGAGTCAAAAAAAGAGACCTATCTTTCGTGATTTGTTTTGAGAAAATAAAAAATGGAATAGGATTTCTTTTTGGAGATTTTAGTAAATACATATTAAAATGTAAACATTTTTTTAAAATTATCCTGTATTAAGTCGTCCATTTTGAAATAAAATTTGATTTTTTTATTGACGATTCTGCCATGAGCTACAATAACAACCAGTACAACCATTTCTTTTTTTTTGATTCTTTAAAAAAAGGCCGCCATTTAGTTAATTTCTAAAATTAACCTTTTGGAAAAAACATATTGGAAAAGGTTCCTTTTTTCATTTAGTAACCACAAAAAAATTTTCAGAAAAATAAAAAATGAGTTTTTCAATTTTTCGAAAAATGGCCGTTATTTTGTTAATTTCCAATTTTTTTCAAATTTTCCATTTTGCAAAGAAAAAGTATCAAAAACACTACTAAAATCAAGAAAAAAAATTGAAAAATATTGATTTTTGTAAACACTAGAAAGATTAACAATAAAAATGTTCTTGTTAAACAAATTCTGAAATTGATTTGTGGAAAAATAAAAATTGTGACTTTTTCATGTCACAAATATTTTTATAGATAATTTAATTAAAAATTTTTTTTCGAGTTGCTTTTATTTGAAAAGGAAACTCATTTTTTACCCTGTTTTTTTACTTTATGGGTAAAAAAAGTATTAAAAAATTTTTTTTTTGATGATATTTTAAAAATTCTTTTTGAATTATCAAAATTGATTAAAACAACAACTCAGAAACAAATTGTAACTTAAATTATCTATAAAAATATTTCATTTGTTAGCACATGAAAAAGTCACAATTTTAATTTTTCCACAAGTCAATTTCAGAATTTATTTAACAAGAACATTTTTATTGCTTCTATTTGCTCCAAAAAAGCATAAAGCAGGGACAGGTCTCTGGTTGTAAATCTGCTTTCAAATTTTGCTAAGGGTTTTGAATTCTCAGTAGTTAATTTTTTACAAATTGCTATGAAGCCGGTGATATCGGTTGACTAACATGGGGGCATGCCAAATAGATCGACTGTAACTAATCTTGCATGCTTTTTACATTTCTTGAATGACTGCATACAAAGAGGCCAGGAAGTTGATACAATATATATATGGACAATTCCACGCAAGATTTACCTATGACCTTGAATATTCGGTTAAACATATTTTTTTCTCAATCTGTAAAGTTTTAAGTTTTAGTTTTCTTTCAACTTTTAAGAAATGTAAAAAAAAATTAATTTTTTTTAACTTTGGACCCGATTTTTTTTTATTTCTTTAAATTTATTTATACCTTATAATATACAGTTGTACAAAATTTTCAAAAATCACGTGCAAGGTGACGCGTTCTACGAAACGCCTCACAATGGGATTTTTTTACAATTTACTTCTCAAAAAATGTCTACAGACTAAAATTTTTAATCGATTTGAGTGATTTTTGTTTTAAATAAAAGGAGAACAATTTTTCAAGATATCCCTCCATGCAAACCGAAGAATATTCAATTGTTTATAATTTTTTTTAAAAACAAAAAGTTAACAAATTAATTGTGTACTTTCCGTTAAAAATGAAAGATTATTTTCTTATTTTGCTACTGCACATGTCCTAAATCAGTTTCAATTAATATAATATATGACCTCCAGATAAATAGTAAATAATAAAATAATTTATCTAAACTGTTATAAACAATAATAGTTAACAAATAATGAGCTTTGGTTCCTCTGCACCAAAAAGAATTTTTTTCATAGTTTTCATTGAAGTTCATTGCAAAGAATGCTTGTGTCAAAATAAAACAATAAACATTTTGATATAAAATATATATTAATTGCATTTATTTTATTTTAATTAATTTTTTTATTTTAATTTTCAAAAACACAAGAAAAGAAAATAAAAGAAAACATTTAATACAAATATATATTAAATTGTTTATAGTTATTGAACAAACTATTTCATATATTCACTATTTTTTAACATATATTCTTTGTAATAAACTTCAATGAAAACTATGAAAAAAATTCTTTTTGGTGCAGAGGAACCAAGGTTCATTATTTGTTAACTATTATTGTTTATAACAATTAAAAATTGTTTTTTAACGAAAGGGAGATGTATTCATTAAATGAACCTAAAGTACAATATGAATATGAAAGAACGAAGTTTTTTTATGGAGAGGAACCAAAGTTAACTATTTGTTAACTAATATTGTTTATAACAGTTTAGATAAATTATTTTATGATTTACTATTTATCTGGAGGTCATATATTATATTAATTGAAACTGATTTAGGACATGTGTAGTAGCAAAATAAGAAAATAATCTTTCATTTTTAACGGAAAGTACACAATTAATTTGTTAACATTTGTTTTTAAAAAAAATTATAAACAATTGAATATTTTTAGGTTTGCATAGAGGGATATCTTGAGAAATTGTTCTCCTTTTATTTAAAACAAAAAACACTCAAATCGATTAAAAATTTTATTCTGTAGACATTTTTTGAGAAGTAAATTGTAAAAAAATCCCATTGTGAGGCGTTTCGTAGAACGCGTCACCTTGCACGTGATTTTTGAAAATTTTGTACAACTCATTAAACGCGTCGGCCCACTCCAAAACTTTTTGGAAAATCTTCTGTATATTATAAGGTATAAATAAATTTTAAAAAAATTTAAAAAATCGGGTTCAAAGTTAAAAAAAATTAATTTGTTTATAAAAAAAAATTTTTTTAAATAAAAAATTGAAAAAATTTTTTTTTTACATTTCTTAAAAGTTGAAAGAAAACTAAAACTTTCATTTCTTGACAAGTTTTTTCTAAACTCAATATTTTCAGACTTATAAGCTACTGAAAATATGTCTAGAGTAACAAATCAAAAAATTCGAAAATTTGGGCGATTAAACAAAAATAAAAAAACACGTATTTCTGTTTTTTCCATACAGATTGAGAAAAAAATATGTTTAACCGAATTTTCAAGGTTATAGGTAAATCTTGTGTGGTATTGCCCATATGGATCTTTCAAAAGCGTTTAAAAGCGTTTTTGTATCAATCATGATATTTTTGCTGAGTAGCTTGACACACTGCAGTTACCTTTTAACTTTAAAATTACTCTTTTAAACTACCTCAATGATAGATCGCACCGGGTCTCAATTGGAAATTTCAGATCTAGAATTTTTATTCCTGATCGTGGGGTGTCACAGGGTTCATCCTTTGGATCCCCAGTTTTTGGAATTTATATTAATGATATAACAAATGTTGTCAAATCATACATTTTAATTTATGCCGATGATCTGAAAATTTACCGATCTATTCTCTCGCCTGAAGATAATCTGCAGCTTCAGTCTGATCTTGACTGCGTGAAGGATTGCTGTTTGACCAATAAACTTTCTATTAATTTTATAAAATCTCACGTCATATCTTTTTATAGAGGTAAAGCACCAATCCTTTACGATTACAAGTTGGCTGATGTGTCTTTGGAACGTGTTTTTTCTACTTGCGATCTTGGTGTGACTTTTTCTTCTAACCTAACATTTAATGAACATATCACTAATACGGTTTCTGCTGTGGCGAGGGCTCTAGGGTACCTAACTCGTTCTTCGGGACACTGGGCTGAACCAAGTACATATCGATTATTGTTTAACACATTTATTAGTTCACGAACAGAGTATGCAAGGATAATCTGGAATCCCTACTACGATAAATATAACAAAGAAATTGAGTCGATTCAAAAAAGGTTTTTAAAATATATGGCTTTTAAGAAGGATGGTATATATCCAAACCGAGGTTGCGAC